CAATGGCTCCCTTATTAATTTTATCCCCTCCTGTTTTGTGTGTTTTTTCAGTTTTTTATGTATAATTGTTTTTATGTATTTATTTTTTAATTGTTGTACGCTGCCCAGAGTCACCTTGTATGAGATGGGCGGCTATATAAATACAATAAATAAATAGTTACAACCCAAGCTCATTTTATGCTCAGTACTTCTTCAGATTGGTTTGGGGGGGGCGGTTAGCACACACATTCCCTGCCACCAAACCAGGGCAGAAAAGAGTACCAGGGTGCCAAATCAAAACACTTCAGGGTGTGCAGAGTACAAGATCAAACAGAGAGGTATTAAGGTTATGCACAGCACAACAGATCTCATTCCATTAAACAGACAGCAGCCAGTGTTCCTTTTCAAACTATAAAGGTCAGCACGAAAACCACTCATCTCTCTCTCAGTATAAGACAGGAGAAAAGCAGAAAGAGGAAAGGCTCACTGATCCTTATACAGTATTAGCAAAGCTGGAGAAAAATATCTTGTGCCACTTAAATCTGAAATGGAGCTTGAGCTCTTCCATTTGATGCTGATAGAAAAAAAAAAATCCCTTTATAGCAAGAGAGTCTCCCAGAACTGTGGGAATGTTTGTCCATGTTGAGTCATGTATTTTCATAAACAGAGTAATGCAAGAATGTCTCTGGAATGTAAAAAGTACTTGCTCCCTTTAAGGGAGGACAACTAGAATAATTCTATCCGTGGTGTTTTCTATGAATCCTTTATAAAATCTAGGAAGCAACCGGACTTGATAGGTATTTCAATTCAGAGCAGAATAATTTGCTTATTTAACTTAGAAAAATATTGTCAGATAGACTGCTGTTCAGTGATCTAACCCAACAACAGAAAGTATTTTGGGGAGAAAAATCCAAGTTGGGGAATTTTAGAAAACCTACCTCTGGCACACTGTGCAAAGACCTAACTCTCTGGAAAACGCTCTAACGCTGGGAAAGGTGGAAGGAGAGATGAGGATAACCACCAGCAAAGTGGATGGACTCAGTTACAGTGGTGATGAGTGCACCGTTGGAAGACCTGAAAGACCAGGTTAGGGATATGACTTGATGACTAATAATAATAGTAACAGGTTGGGAAAACCAGGATGATTTTACCTGAGTGAAATGCTACTGGTATCTCAGCAAAGAGTTGCCATTCACCTTAATACCACCCAAGTCTAGAAAGATTATAGGGTGCCCACAGGGTAATCAGGAAATTCTCTTAAGAAATGCTGAGGAACAGCTGTGTTCCTGACTCACACTGAAAAATTAACAAGAGTCCTTCAGTGCTTTACTGAAATATTGAGTATAACATAAAAACCTCTATG